AGGTTTCTCCCTTAACCCCTAACGGTTCCCTCTACCAAGATATCTCTTTCATTGCTCTTCCTCTCTGTCCCTCCTCTATTTGACCATCTCAGTCCCTCCTGTTCCCATCCTCCATCCCTTTCTTTCTGTACCACCTCCCAGTTTACCCAGGATATCTTAATTATTTTCCCTTCCTGGGGCCCTCCATGTGTGTCCCTCTTAGGCTTACCTAGCTTCTCTGGGGTTGTGGATTGTACCCTGGTTATCCTTTGCTCTGCCTCTAATATCCATTTAAGAGTGACTACATACCGCGTTTGTCTTTCTGGGTTTGGGTTACCTCACTCAGGATGATTCTTTCAAGTTCCATCCATTTGCCTACAAATCTCATGATTTCATTTTATTTTACAACTGAGTAATACTCCATTGTGTACCACATTTTCCTTATCCATTCTTTGGTTGAGGGGCATCTAGGTTGTTTCCAGGTTCTAGCTATTACAAATAATGCTGCTATGATTGAGCAAGTGACCTTGTGGTATGATTGAGCATCTTTTGGGTATATGTCCAATAGTGGTATTTGTAGGTCTTGAGGTAGGTTGATTCCATCATGATGGGGAAAACCACAGAGACAGATGACCCAAGCTGGTAGGAGATCATGTATTCTGACCTGTCAGCTGGGGAATATACATAGCACTGAACTAGGCTCTCAGGATGTGAGTGACAGTTATGTGACTAGATCTGTTTGGAGAGACTCTGTTTTCAGTGGGATCAGGACTTATCCTGGGTGCATGAAATGGCTTTTTGGAGCCCATTCCCTATGATGGGATACCTTGTTCAGCCATGACATGGCGGATCGGGGGTGATTGGTCCTGCCTCAACTTAGTATGTCAGACTTTGTTTAGCCAAGGGAGGCCTTACCCTCTCTGAGGAATGGATGAGGGACAGGATTGGGTAAGGCAGAGGCACAGGAGAAGGGGAGGGATGGGAAACTGGGATTGTTATATAAAATGAAAACAAAACTTTTTAAAAAATAATTTTTAAAAAATTAAAAAAGTAAGATAAACCCAGGAATACTACCCCAGAGAGATCTTGAAGAAGGACTGAATTTGTTTGCTTTATATAGCAGGATTAAAGGGAAATTGTATACTTCTTTATATTCTTAAGCTTAGGACATCAAAGTTATACTCAAAGACCAGTTTCCTTCTTGATATAAAATAATCTGCTTCCTGGCTTAAGGTAAATGAGGATTTTTCTTATAGCTTTTCATAGGAAGGAAAGATAGGCAATTACTATGATTATGCTTTGTTGATAATATGGGTTTTTATCTACTTTCACTGTCCTCTTAACGTTGGCTGCTTGGAAACTCCAGACTAAATTTGTAGCTAACTTGCAAAGTGGTTTGAATTTTTCAATGTGGAAATCTAGCAGCAGCTCTGCTCCAGAAGTCAGAGGGGTAAGTTGTCTCCAATATGCAAGCTCTATCATTAACCACATCTGATAATGCCAAAACTTCACAGCCCAGTCACTGGCATCTTTGAATCCTTCCACAGAATTTTTTAAAAGCATTCTATAACCTCTAAAGCATTATAAATATTTAGGGAAGCAATTCATACTTATGAACAATCTGAAACAATTACATTTGTATACTTTCCTCATCAAAAAAAATAGTTTTTGTTCCTGCCTTTCAGCAGAAATAAGTATCATACCATAGGGCAAAAGATATCAAATATGAAATATCACTGTATTGCTGGCTTTAAGTCTGCTAATTTAATTATATTAGGAAAATACTCCCACCTACTACGTAAGTCTCTGTCCTAGCAATAACATGATTCTACTATCACTTGGATTTCCTATGACAAGAGAAATACTCTGTGAAAGTATTCTTTTAGAAAACATTAGCTCCACTCTTTGAAAGCCATGAATGAACTGAAGATGAGCTTGAGTGATTGTTGTGTCTTGGTAGGCATGTGCTGCTCTAATACTTTTCGACTCACAGCTCTATCAGAAATCATCTGCCTTGACAGAGTCAATCCTTTTTTCTTTAGTAGCAATGATCCATTACAATGGACATCACACCTGACTTAAAACACTTGGCTGATAACTCTGTTAACATCAAAAGAGAAAGAGGTATTTATCCTGAAACATACAGAGTTGTCAGATGAAAGGTGATTTTGGTGTTAACTCTGGCACAGAATCATCCTCAGTGGTGTTAGGCCTGTGGCTGCTCAGTAACAGATAAGAACGAAGGTTTGCAAACCAATAGTAGAACGTTTTATAATTTCTGATGTCACTAGAGTGTGTGTGTGTGTGTGTGTGTGTGTGTGTGTGTGTGTGTGTGTGTGTGTGTGTGTGTTTGGTTGGGTTTTTTTTTGTTGTTGTTGTTGTTGTTTTGTTTTGTTTGGTTTTTCGAGACAGGGTTTCTTTTTGTAGCTTTGTGCTTCTCCTGGAACTCACTCTGTAGCCCAGGCAGGCCTCAAACTCACAGAGATCCGCCTACCTCTGCCTCCCAAGTTCGCCAGGCATGTGTGTATGTTTTATTTAGCAACATCTATTCAATAGTAATTTTCAATTCTCATCCTCATCTTTTTTCCTAAATAGTCTCTCAAGATCACATGAGAATTCATTTTTAAAATATTTGTACCTTCCACATAACATTTATTTTTAAGGTTAAATACTAAATACAATGAGATTAATATATAATAAAAGATGATCTGTAAAAGCAATCAGAACAAATAATTCATTTCTTTTCCTTGAAATAAGAGTGTGTACCACGGGTCCCACTTTTTGGTCCTGAAACAAAAGCACATTTTGACTCACTATACAGCTTCCTGAAGAAGCTTCACACACTGAAAACTGAGTGGATTTGGAAATGAAAAGAACATGCAGAAACACACAGCCAAATTGGCAAGGATGCTTCCTGTCTGTGAAGCATCAACCAAGAAGTTGTTTTATCTTCCTACTTGTGTGTCTTTTATTGCCAATGAAATTAGACTGCAACAGATATAAAAGCTGAGAGTGCTGGGCCTTTGTCCTTCATCTTCCTCCACTCAGAAATAACTCAGTCCTCCCGCCAGCAGACTAATCAGCAAAGAAGCTTCTCCAAGGTAGGTACTTGGAAATACGAAGCCCTTTAACTTGACACTAAATTTTACCAGCTTTTCAAGATAACATCTTAACGAGTTGTTTATAGGATATTCCTTTTTTGTCAATGCAAGAATAAGTGCCTCCAAGAAATCATAAGTCATAAAATGCATCCTGTTTTGAAAAATTTTGCAAGTAACAGAAAAGTATTCTTGTAGAACACTGGGGACAGTGAGTCCACCAAAGTCCACAATTCCCTTTCTCCTCCTTGTACCTTAGGGTTCTTTAGCATTCATAATGATGGGCTACTCTCCGGTGTACTTGGAAAGGGAATTATTCTAACATATATGTTTACCATTTTTCTTGTTTTTAAGCTTCACATGATATTATATCCTGGAAAAAATCAAGAGGTTACATTTGCTCATAATATCTTGTAAAAAAAAAAAACTGTTCCTAAGATTCTTTAAGGTTTGCATTGTTCGGCCACCACATTTACACTATTAACACAGTTGACTGTGGAGTTGACAAGTCACTGTGTGCAGTGATACGAAGGAAGAACTCAAGAAAACTGACTCGGGAATTTTTGTTTTATGAAAAGTTGGATTTATTCATTTATTTATTTATTTATTTATTGCCTTTTCTTTTTATTAAGAGATTTTTCTATTCATTTTATATATCGGATTCCTCCTCCCTCCCTCCTCCCATTCCCCCAACCATCCCCCCCAACCCACCCCCCATTTCCACCTCCTCCAAGCAAGATCTCCCCTGGGGAGTCAGCCCAGCCTGGTAGATTCAGCTGAGGCAGGTCCAATCGCCTCCTCCCTCCACCAAGGCTGAGCAAAGTGTCTCAGCCTAGGCACTAGGTTCCAAAAAGTCAGCCCATGCACCAAGGACAGGTCCCGGTCTCACTGCCTGAGGGCCCCCTAAACAGTTCAAGCTAAACAACTGTCTCACTTATCCAGAAGGCCTAGTCCAGTTCCATGGGAGCTCCTCAGCCATTGGATCACAGTTCATGTGTTTCCACTAGTTTGACTATTTGTCCCTGTGCTTTTTCCAATCATGGTCTCGATGGCTGACTGGTCTAGGGCGCCAGACTCTGACTCAGAAAATTATCATAAACTTTAAGACACTGAAAAGAGCCAGGCGGTGGTGGCACACGACTTTAATCCCAGCACCCAGGAGGCAAAGCCAGGCAGATCTCCATGAGTTTGAGGCCAGCCTGGGCTACAGAGTGAGTTCCAGGAAAGGCTCTAAAGCTACACAGAGAAAACCTGTCTCAAAACAAACAAACAAACAAAAAGACACTGAAAAGAAAATAGAGCTAAAGTTTTCTTCTGTCCTAGTTATTGATGGAACATAGCTGGATGTCAGAAAGCAGATTTGAGAACATTCATTAAGGACTAAAATGACTTAGCATTGTGTTAAAACAAGTCATTATATCCAGTGATGTTTTGATCTTTGGTGTATCTAACAGGAAGAGTTCTTCCAAACTAGGTGAAATAAAAAATTAAATAGGATAAAGTTAAAGTGGTAATATCTCAAACATGTTTATAAAAATTGTGGATATAGAATGACTATTTTTAAGAAAAAACAAAATGTATAAGTGAAAAATGTTCATTTCTAAATAAATACTGCTAAGCCAAAAGCTTTACTTTGGAAAGCTTCTGTTGCTCAGAGTCTTCATGGACAAGTATCTGGCATTCTCTCCAGCCATAAGCTCACAAGTCAAATGTGAAAACTAGCTCCCTCATTATTCAGTCAAATGTCATCAGCTGATCCTACTACTCCACTAATACTGAGTCTAAGGTAAGGGCAGGAAAATTATTTTAAGATACACTGCACTACACATACACTATGTGTTGAGACAAGTCTCAAATAGTGCCATTTGTTTTTTTAAAGAAAAGCTAATCAGCCATTGTGCTTACTTTCAGGAGACACCAAAGATGAAACCACTGTATTTAGTCTTGGGCCTTTGGGTTCTTGGAGGATGTTTCCTGGTAAGTACCTTTAATCCCTACCTCACATCTTCATATTCTCTTGTTAACTTTTACTTCAGACTTTTTTATAATTATTTATTTGCCTTCCCTAATACATAGAAGCTGCAAATTGCTGATGAAATACCACTCTAGTACTTTAACTTCTACTTTGAATTTCTGGTTTAATTTAGTAGCCATATAGAGCAGTCATATAAGATGCTCAGATCTATAACTTTATAGAGATTTTCATACACAGATAAATCCCTTATGTTCCCAAACTCCAGCAAGTGCACAGGTAGCTCTTCTTGGCCTGCTCTTAAAGCTGATTTTCAACATATTTATGTCCTCAGAATACAGGAGGGAAATGAGCTACTATTTTGAACAATCGTGTTTGGATTATTTAAACAATCTTTTCATATAAAATGAATTTGGTGAGCATTCTAATCCTACAAGCAGTTCAGTGCAACAGTACACATTGGATAAGTCTTTCCATGACTTAGTCCATGAGACTCAAGATGATTAATAATTGCTGTCTTCAAGTAAGAAGGTATAGTCTTTTCATAAGAGCAGAGAAATGGCCAATCATCTCTTGAGTATTTATTATATGTAATTTTCCATTGTTTGTATATATTATCTCATTTAACCCTCAATGATAATGTAACAAAGGGTTTATTATTAATCAGATTAAGCTATAAGCTTATATCCAAGGGATCTGTGTTTTAGCTATATTGTTCTTTTTTTTATTTCATTTTTTTTTCTGGAGTTGGGGACCAAACCCAGGGCCTTGTGCTTGCTAGGCAAGCACTCTACCACTGAGCTTAATCCCCAACCCCTTAGCTATATTGTTCTTAAACCATAAATGAAAGAGATTATCTCACGCTACAGACCCCCTAACAGGATAGTTTTTCTTCCTAGGACAATCTTTTCATCATTTTTAAATTCACTAACTTAAGCTACTAATGAGACTGGAGCTAATCACTGTGAGTGAATTAAAACATTAAGAAAATGATAGATATGTCCAAGAAAGTCCGTCACTACATAATAGTCAGATCAGTATCAGGATGCCCTGAGGAAAAACGGGATTTTTCAATTTTCAGCTAATTCTTTAGTCTCATCAACTATGAAAATAATGTGAAGTATTTCCCCACGCTTAAAATTTGTTCCTTGGCAGTTAAAAGTGAAATCCTGAACTTGCTCCCAGGGTGGTCGGCCTGTGAAATGGAACCCCGAGTTTCTAATGTCTGTATCTAATGCCAACGAGCTGCAAAACACAGAGAGAGCGCTGACCCCAAGATGTGTCTTAATATAGTATACATCATTAATAATATCAATAAAAGAGCTATACTGCCATGTTGAGGGCAAGAGCTAAACAGAAACATGAGGGGACACAAAGAGTGAAATTACCATATCTGGCTGCCCTTTAGTACCGAGTTGCCATGAAATAAAGAGGTAACAGTAAAAGCCAGCCGTGTTGATAGTTTAGCACAAGCTTTTTGAGACAGGGAATGACATGAGCAATGTGCATTTTCTGAAGAAAGTCTTTAACCTCTGCACACTTTAGTTAAGGGAGAAGCAAAAAGTAGAATGATGAGTTCAAATGAAAAAGTCTTTATAATGATACAAATAAAGAGGCAGGGGAGACGAGAGACGTTGAGAATTCAGGGGACAGGTACAAAGCTGTGACATAGTATTGGGTGATTGGACGTAGGTGGTGGTCATTTTCTAAATGAAATGTGCTAAGTAAATGGAGGAACATACAGTTACAGTAAGTAAAAGAAAAAAGACCGAGTCCCTGAGAAAACAACGGAAAAGTTGTTCTCTGACATCATTAGTGACTTTAAAGGCTGCATAGCCTAGACCGGGGAGGGAGTTCATTTATGCCTGCTGTAATCTCTGGGTGAAGTAAAAGGTACTGCATCTGCAGGTAAATATGGGGGTGTGGGATGGGATGGAAAACTAAGAAAAAGAAAGTTGGTGTCAACATGGAATAGTACAAGCCTCTATAAAACTGGAGAGGGCAGACCGAAGAAACTTGAGGGTTCCAAGTCAGTTTTGAAGACCATAAATCTCTGCCACACATTGCCTATGGCATCTTCTACTGCTGTTCATGAAATTGAACTTAATGGGACAGTTTTTTAGGGTACACCTAAAATTTAACGTTAGTGAAGGCAATATGTCAGATGAAAAAATTGGAGAAAGACCTCAACAAATAAGTGAAAGAATCTGTATCCTAGCAAACCATCAGCTCCAAGCAAGCTTGATTAAGAATCAACAGCATGGGACTAGGAGCATATACGTTCCCTCTGTGTTTTATAGTCTTCCAACGTCATTTCAAAGGCTGCCTTGTCAGTGAAACAATTCTTAAACTTTCATGTATCTAAAACTAAGCACTCCAACTTCCTGATGCATTTCTTTCCTGCAATACTTTCCAGCTGTTTTTATGTTTAATCTTACACCTTATTAAAAAAAAAAAAACAAAAAAAAACAAAAAAAAAAAAACGCTAAACTGGATGTTAGCATAACAATTAATAGCACTTATTATTCAACAAGTGTTGTACCCAAGGCAAGGACTGCCTAGGCATTCTATTTAATTGATATATAAAATTGCTCACAGCAAATTACTTTATGAAAAGGGCCTTAGGCATGACTAAAAATATCTCATAACTAATCTGACAGACTCCAGGATGTGGAAACATACATGAATGTCACTTCCCAAAGGTGGAACAGAGTTGTTTCGAACAAGCTATAGAGCCACAGTCTGTACCTGACAGAGGCAGGACTCCAACCACAGCCTTTACACTACAGAGACTACTGGTCTTCCTCCCTTTGGCCTTTTTTTACCACCTTGTATTGTAGCTACCCATTCTATAGAGTCACGTTAAACATATCCGTACCTCCCACTGCTGCTACGCCAAGATACGTTGAAAATGGGCCCCGGGTAGAGCTCCGGCAGTCTAGTTGGCGAGAGGAAGGGGGGTTTGTGTGGGCGAGAATTGTTGAGGCCAGGGTTGGATAGAGCCCAGGGACGGGTGGCCGGACAGATGGAAGCACATGAACTATGAACCAGGGGCTGGGGGGCCCCCAACTGGATTGGGCCCTCAAATGGGTGAGACAGTTGATTGGCTTGGTCTGTTTGGGAGGCATCCAGGCAGTGGTACCGGGTCCTATGCTCGTTGCATGAGTTGGCTGTTTGAGGCCTGGGGCTTGTGCGGGACGCTTGGCTCGGTCTGGGAGGAGGGGACTGGACCTGCCTGGACTGAGTCTACCAGGTCAATCTCAGTCCTCGGGGGAGACCTTGATCTGGAGGAGGTGGGAATGGAGGGTGGGCTGAGGGTAAGGGGGGCGGGAGGGGGGAGAACGGGGGAATCTGTGGCTGATATGTAGAACTGAATGGTATTGTAAAATAAAATAAAAGGAAAAAAAGTACCAACTCTATAACATGGTTTGCATTTTATTCAAATCAAAACCTAGAACAACCCTAAGCTTCTGAATGAGACAGACATTTCCAAATCCTGGAGGGCAACTACTTCCATTTGGGATTGATTTCAGTGACTGGGTCTACTAACAGCCAAGCTTAAGATTTTGCTCATGATATTTTCTTTCCCTTCAATACCATCTAAGCTCTCATCAAAGACCTGTATGCTCAGAACAAAGAAGGAAACATTTTCCGTGATTGACTTTCAGGATTTTGTCTTAGAAATATGTAACAGTTCTCTATTGTTGTATAATAAAGAACCACAAATTAGGACTTTAAAAACCCTGTTTATCATAGTATAGTCTACACTTGGCTTAGTTGTATTCTCTTCTCAAGTACCACGCAAGGCAGAGGAGGAACTCTGAAGGTATGCTCCACTCTTCATCTCAAGGTTATCCTTTTCACAACTCATGGAATTCTGTACCTTTACTGCAGTATTGAATGGCCTCAACTTCGTTCATTAATATTTTAATTAACATGAAGTAGCAGGTTTTCCTGTGGGATTTTCATATTCCATTTCAGTGGATTTTCCCCTCCCCTACACTTGTCTCCCTTCACACAGCTCCCTGTTCCCCCTTTCCCACACTGGACCCTTTTGTTTCAGTATTATTCCTTCTCCTTTGTTCTATTATTTTCCCAACATTCACCCTTAAAGCTTATTTCCCAACTTTAAAGGAAAAAAAGTATGATAATTTCAGGGGAAAAATGGATAGAACTAGAAAATGTAGAAAACACAGTAAATTATGCACAGAAAAACAAATACTATTTATTCTTTCTCAGATCCTAGCCTCTAACTCTTACATGTGTGTATTGCGGCCAGGGTAAATATGGATACAGATGGACCCTAGAAAATGTCCATGAGACGAATCTCTGCTTTCTTGCTGGCCATGAACCAGAGGCCACTCTGATCTAGTATAGCCTAGTTGTCATGTGTTTCTTCCCAGGACAGAGAACCTTTATCATAAGTCAACAGACCATCTGCTGCAGCATGAAATCTCTAGCTTCTTCTGCCTCCAGCATTACAGAACTTGTAGGAGAGCACATCTGATAAAATCAGGCCAGCAAATGTCTTTGGAGAGTGGGACTTTTAGGGGCCATCTTAAAATTTTACCCACCCCAGAAAGTTTATGTGCTGATAATTGTATGAAATATCTAGTTAAAATTGTTTATTTCCTTTCTCCCACAGTCTGGTGAGTGTCACAGAGGCCCCAGAGGACGACACGATCCTAGAGGACCACCACCTCCTCCTCCCCATCCCTTTGGTCCAGGATTCGGTGGACCACCCCCTCCTCCCTTTGGCCCTGGGTTTGGTAGACCACCCCCTCCTCCCTTTGGTCCTGGGTTTGGTAGACCACCCCCTCCTCCCTTTGGTCCTGGGTTTGGTAGACCACCCCCTCCTCCCTTTGGTCCATATCCACCTGCACAACCCAGACCTCCAACCAATCCTCCTCTCACTCCACCTCCTCCCCCAATACAGGGAAATATAACACCTAGCGCCAATATATCTCTAACTACTACTGCTGCTGCCCCAAATGCCACTGATGATTTTCTGAGCTGGTGGCAAAGATTCATTTCTGCTTGGCAGCAAGGATGAGAATATTCCAGAGCACTTTTGAAATTTTGGATAAATAATCTTCAAAGGCTTAAGAAACAACCTCTTCCCAAGCATTATACAAATTGAAAATAAAGAGCTGAGCAGCATTCCGAAGCATCTGTTGTTGTCATCAGAGTGATTACTGTGCCATCTACTGTGTTACTTTAATAAAATAATCCTTCCAGAAACCTAACCTTACCATGAGGAAAAGCGGTCATTGGGGGACATACAATACCTGAGCTTGTAACATAAAATCATGAGACAATGAATAGATAAGATGTCCTCTTGAGTATCTCCTATCAAATAATTACTAATTACAGAACATGTAAATATATATTAAAAGAATTCTTCCATGCAGCATGTTCCTAAAAGTTCTTGAGTATTGAGTTATCATTATATTTGAACCCAGACAGATTCTGCATCAACCTATTTGACCAACCTTCCATGGAAAATATTCAAAAACTATATGTGTACTGAGCATGGTTTTTTCTGCTATTATTCCTCCAATAACCCATAGCTAATATATTCAGATAATATTGGTATTATCATGGGGATTATAACCAATCCAGAGATGATTTAATGTGTGCAGGATGACCACATAAGTTATTGTACATTATTTAAAATGGAGTAATTGAACATCCACAAATTATAGTATGCAGAAGACCCTAGAACTAGTCCCCCAAGGTTACCAAAGGATGATAGTACTTGTAGCTGGGACATCATATAAATTTGCATTTCTGAAAAAGAAGCATATTCCAAGAAAATCAAAATGAGATGGGGGGCATATTTGAAATATTGTTGATTTTTGTTTTGTTCTGTTCTCATTCTATCTCTGAAGCCTACTCACATTTCTGAAGAGAAATTTAAATCACCTAAATCTAAACTTCATGAAAAATCTAAAAGCTATGGGGAAGCAAGTGAACCAGAAAGTGTCTGGGAAGTCTAAAGCCACTGACTACTTGGCCCAGGATTTCTCTTCTCCTACAAGCAGGAATCCTTGCCCTTCACTCTTATGCTCACATAGCAGAGACACTTCCCACCCTCTTTTTCTCTTTTGTCTCTTCTCCTCCCCAACCACCCAAGACCTAGACCACCCTCTGAAAATGTGTCAGCCTCTTCTGGTCCTCCGGCTATGGTTGCCATCACAATGGCTTCCACTGCTTCTGTCAGCAATGATACAGATGCCAACTCCATCATTCTTCCCAGGACCCTCCAGGCTGAGGCTTCCACAAATGCTGTGGCAGCTGAGAACATCTCAGCAACCAAGAACGACGCTACCTCCAACTGATGCAGGTGACGGTGCCCCATCTTCTTCACATAACACCACCTCAAACTTCTACAGGGGACACTACTCCAATGGCTACAAGTGACAAAACCCCACCTGATACAGATATTACCTCCCCTACTGCTAAAGGTGACAGCATTCTAACAAGCACAGATTTTAGCGCTCATGCTGTGGGCAGCACACTACAGCCAACTAGGCTTCACCACTCTCTAAGACGGCCAATGTAGCAAAGTACAAGAAGACAAAGAAAACCATGGTAAGTAATAATTATGAAAGCTTTAAAAGTATTTTCTCTCTAGATGTGTGCATGCATACAAACGTGTAGCAGGATTCTTAAAAGTTCTTATTAATAAAATCAAACCTGAGGCGAGTTATTGGGGTCCATGCTGGTAGATCAGAGAGACAGAACAAGCCACAGCTATCTCACCTCGCCTGGATCCTCAGCTGGTCCTGTTTCCTCAGACTGGAAGCTTCTGTGTCCTTATCCAGAATGAATCTCAGCTGAACTGTGCTGCTCGAAAGCCTGAAGCTTAACCAGCCATATGCTTAACCAGCCAAATGCTTCTAGTTTCTGGTCCTCACGCTTTATATATCTTTCTGCTTTCTACCACCACTCCCTGAGATTAAAGGCTGGCTTTCTGGGATTAAAGGCATGTGTCACCATGCTTGGCTATTTCCAGTGTGGACTTGAACTCACAGAGATCCAGAGGGATTTCTGTCTCTGGAATGCTAGGATTAAAGGTGTGAGTGCCACCATTTTCTAGCCTTTGTATCTGTCTGTTCTCTGACCCCAGATAAATTTATTAGAGTACACAATATTTTGGGGAACACAATACCACCACACAAACGTGTATCAGTAAGTGTGCTTGTGTGACAAGAGCTTCCTTGGCACAATCAGTGAGAATAAGAGACAGTTCATAGACATGTTATCTAGGTTAGAAGCTCTTATTACCCTTTGTATTTGACAAATTCCAGGGTTTGAAATTCATGGCCTCTTTTCCTTCTTTAATATTACATAAATAATTTTATTGCACACTCAATTAAGGCTTATATAAACATACTAATCATTTATTACTTATAATAATTATAATGTATATCAAATATAAGTATATAAAATCATCTGCTGGAAAGTTCGTTACAGGACCTCCCAATAATACCAAACTCAACAGATACTCAACTCTTAAAATGCCATGCTATGCATAACATATATGTGTGTTCACATGTGTGTTATATATTCATATATATTTATATAGCAATATAAATTCCAATATATTTCAAATATTTACCAGATCAATTTTTAATGATAACTTTTTATTTTGTGAAATTATAATCACTTCATTTTCACCCACCCTTGTTTATTGATGTAACTAACCGTCTTATTAAATAAGAAACACAGAAACAATGTAAAGAGAAAGCCGAGAGGTCAGAGCTCAGAGCTAAAATCTCACCCTTCCTCCTACTGTCCCAGCTTCGCGAAAAAACTACTTCCTGTCTGTTC